GTGGTTGATGCAGACAGGCCACTTGTGGGCTGAGATGGTCAGAGTAGGCACCATCTCCAGATTCTGCAGGCAGGAGGCCCACTGTAGCAGGCTGACTCATATCTTTAACTCCCTAAGCCGTAAGAATTTACAGATGCAAACGTTGGAGCACCCTTTGGTTCTTTTTCGCTCTTACAGTCCTCTGACCTTTTTTCTATTCCTGGGTGGTGCAAATGGTTTGTGCTTGACTACTAACCTAAAGGTTGGTGGTTTGAACCCAGCCAGTGGCACCACAGAAAAAAGGCCCGGTGATCTGCTTCCATAAAGATCACAGCCAAGGAAACCCTATGGAGTAATTCTGTTCTGTGACACATGGGGTCGCCATGAGTTGGAATCGACTCAATGGCAATGGGTTTAGGATTTTTTCATCCACACAATGCTTGTTTTTAAAGGTAATTATAGAAGCTTCTATTTCGATTAGTCTAATTCCCTTAAAAACCAGCAAGTCAGAAGTGCCAACAGTTCCTGCCCTCACCAAGCATACAGACTACTGGAGGAGAAAGATATATAAATCACTTACACAAATAAAACCTCCATTGTGCTGAATACTATAACAGAGAGTGTAGCACACAATATGGGGGGATTGACCTTCTCAGAGGTCAGAATTAGCTTCCTTGAAGAAAAGATGATATTGTTGTGGTTAGCGGCCATTGAGTTGGCCCCCGACTCATGGTGACCCCATGCTCAATGGGATGAAATACTACTCAGTCCTGTGCCATCCCCATGATCGGTTACAGATCAGATCCTTGTGATCCATAGGGTTTTCACTGGCTGATTTTCCAGAAGATCACCAATACTTTCTTCCTAGTCTGTGTTTGCATTGAAATCTGAAGGAAGAGGAGGGATTAACCAGGCAAAGGGGAGGAAAAAATATTTTAAGCAGAGGGAACAACACGAGCAAAGAAAAGCCCTGTGGTAGGAGAAAGCTTGCTGCTGGGGCAGAGGGAGCAAGGGACGGCTCGAAAGAAGATGGCTCAGGAGAGCTAAGTAGGGCCAGATCATACAGGACTTGAGGTGTATCAAGGAGTTTTCTATTTATTCCAAGAGCATCAAGAACCCTTTAAAAGATAAGCCGCAGAATGAGAGAAAGAAGGGCAGTGGGTTACAATCAAATTTACATTTTAATTAGATCACTCTGCCTGTGGTGTGATCAGCATTGGAGGGGGGCTGAGTAAATGTGGGCAGGTCTGGTAAGAAGACACTTGTAAGAATCGAGACCAGAGATGATAGTGGCTTGGGCCAGAGTGGTGGTCATGCTGGTAGCAGAAATGGACAGAAGTGGAGAAATGGAAGGGTACAAAGGTAGTAAGTGCAAAGGTACAATAGGTATAAGCTGCAGGGCTTGGTGAAGGGTGCGAGAGATGGGGTGGAAAGAGGGGTTAGGAATGACTTCCAGGCTTCTGAGGTGTAAAATTGGCTGAATGGTGAAGCCTTTCCCTGAGGTAGGCAACCTTGGACGAGGACCAGTTTGTTGGGGAAAGATTATGAATTCAGTTTTGAACATGTTAGGTTTGAGTGCCTTTGAGGCATCTAGGAAGAGGTGTGAGAGGCGCAGTTGGGTAAATGGGGCTGGAGCTCAGAGGAGAGGTCTGGACGGAGGGAGATGTTTGTGACTCACCTGTGTAGAGGTGTGTTAGACACTGCGTGTGGATGAGATCACTCAGCCCACTCAGAGTAAGGAAAGACGAGGACCTAGAACCAACCTTGTGGGAGTCCAACACTTAATGACCGGGGAGAGGAGAACCCCAAAGAGGAGGCAGAAAACACTCTGCCAGGAACATAGAGAGACAACCTGGACAGGCAGGTGGCCAGAAAGCCAAGGAAAACCCGTTTTTGTATGAGGAGGTGGTCAGGGAAGAAAGCTGCTGAGAAGGCAGGAAAAACGAAGACTTGATAATGGTAACAGTTATAACACTGTCACTAACCATATTAATACCTAATCTTCATAGAGCACCAATTATGAGCCAGGCACTTTAGGGTATAATTTAATCCTCATAAGAAGTCTGTAAGCCAGGTCCTATTACCATCCTCATTTTTACAGATGAGAAAACTGAGCACTGAGAAATGACACCATTTGCCTGAGGTCACACGGCTAGTGAGCGATGGAGTCTGGAGGGAAGTCTTCTTCCTCACTCCCAAGCCCCATCCTTAAATGCTGTGCTGCGCCTCCAGTGCTTATAGAATAAGAATCAACCAAGGGAGTGAAGGTTTTTCCTCTTCAGAGATTTGGATTCTTTAAAACACAGCCAAGGAAGTCATCCATTTTTGCTAAAACCCAAGTCCCGGGTGGGAGGCTTTGGTATGAAAATGGCAGCACTTCTTTCTGATTGTAGCGTTCAGCTAGAATGTTCTTTTTGTTGTTAGTTGCCATCAAGTCAGCCCGGACTCATGGAGACCACGTGTACTAACTACAAAACGAAATGCTGCCTAGTCCTGCACCATCCCCATAATCTGTTGCAGATTGGACCATTGTGATCCATTGGCTGAATTTCAGAAGTAGATCGCCAGGCCTTTCTTTGTAGTCCATCTTAGTCTGGAAGCTCCACTGAAACTTGTTCAGCATCATAGCAACATGCAAACCTCCACTGACAGACTGGTGATGGCTGTGCTTGAGGTACATTGGCCAGGAATCGAACTCCAGTCTCCCACATGGAAGGCAAAAATTCTACTATCACTGAACCACCAGTGCTCTCACTCACTAGAATAGCACAGTGTTAAATAAATGATATGGCTATACTTGCCATACAAAAGGCTTGCCCCAAGTGCTTCAGGGCAGACGTTCTCAAAGTGTGATCCCGCATCAGCATCAGCATCACCCAGAAATTGTCAGAGGTGCAAAAGCTTGGGGTCCTTGAGACTCTGCAACAGACACTCCGGTGGGGCCCAGGAATCCATATTCCAACAAGCTTCCTGATAGTTCTGATGCACAGCAAAGTTTGGGAATGCTGATCTTGGGGTGTCCTTGAAAGGAAAAGATGGGGTCCTTGCACTGGACAGACTTAAAATCCATATATCTCATAGATGCAAAACACCTTGGCAGAAACCAGATGGAACAGAGTCAGTGGTTCTCAGCCCAGCTGCATGTTAGAATCATTTGGAGAACTTCAAGATGCCTAATTCTCACCCTCAGAGATTCTGGTTTAATTGGGCTGGGCTTGGCCCGAACATTGAATTTTTGAAATGAGGATGTGAATGAGAAATGGGTGATTGAATGAATTAATGAATATAGAATTGTACCCCCGAAGATAAGGAGACAGACCTTGAAGGGGAAGGGTGAGACAAACGAAAGAGAAGCTAGGCCCTTTATGAGTACCAGTAAAGCTTGAATAATTCTGGATACCGTGGTGGGGGAGAAGCTAGTCTAAATTAGTAACAATTCTTAATTATGGCACTATTTTCAAAGAGATGCCAATAATAAAGTAGATGCTACCAAAGCTGCTTCAGTAATTTTTAACTGAGTTGTTTTTATTCCATCTTAATGGAAATGATATCTACCAGTATGCTAATATGCTTCTGGAAACTTCACCTATGCTATATCTATGTGTTAAGAACTTACTCTGCCCCTCTGGCCTCTCAAACCTCCCTGCTCACTGCTTGCTTGGTGAGGCTTTCTCCCAAGCTGATCTGGTCAGTTTACCCTCTATTCTTTCTTTCAGGGCCCAGCTCCCTCTGGAATCCTCCATGGCCTCCAGAGAACCCTCTTCAGCACTCAATACCTTTAATGCGCTCTGTTCCTATTTCGTTTCTGTCATCCCGCCCAGTTCTCAACTTCATCCGGGATTATAAGCACCCAAGGGCAGTGATGGCTTATAGTTCTTTACCTCATCCCTAGCACAGTGCCCACACTCTAGGCTTAGAAAATATTAATGAAGAAACTGTGCCAAAGTCCATCCTCTACCATGGATTACAGATAAGAAGGCGCTCCCCTCCCCCACGAGGTTTGACTGTGGTTTGGTCATTCTGAAGGCTGCGGGGAAGGAAGAATCCAAAGGAAGCCTGCTAAGGTGAGAATCCCAGAAGGCAGGCTCTCCAAAGTGAAGAGCGGCATTCACAGGGAAGAGCCCTAGCAGCCTCATTAGCTCCATGTTACATATGGTATTAGATTCCTGTGGCTGCTGTAACAAATTACCACAGTCCTGGTGGCTTGAAACAATAGATGTTTATTCTCTTATAGTTCTGGAGGCAGGAAGTCCGAAATCAGATTCACAAGCCACATCAAAGGGTCAGCAGGACTGCACCCCCTCCGGAGACTCCTGCGGAGAATCCGTTCCTTGTCTCTTCCAGCTTCTGGTGGTCCTGGCATTCCTTAGCTTGTGGACTCATCAGTCCAGTCTGTCTCCATAGTCACATTGCCTTCTCCTCTTCTGTGTGTGGTCAGATCTCCCTCTGCCTCCCTCTTATATGGATACTTGTGATTATTTACGGACCACCCTGATAATCCTGCATGATCTCCTCATCTCAAATTTTTTAATTTATTGTACAGTCTTTTTTCTTTTTTGTGTTATAAAGTAACATTCTCAGATTCCAGAGATTAGGATGTGGATATCTGTTGGCTGAGAGTGGGAGGGGGCATTCTTCAACCTACCACACATATAAAGGTAACTGGAGCCTCCATAGCGACAGAGGCTTGTCCAGGGCCACACCTCAAGTTAGTGACAGAAATCAGACAAGGACCCCGGTCTCTCTTCTGTCAACTGTGAGCTTCCACCACTAGGCCAAGCTGATGCCCATGTTTCTCCTCAAAAAGACACACAAGGAAAGAGATTTCAAGTAACACCTCATACCCTCATTCATGTGCTTCATTCGCTTGTTTTTTCTTTGGCTCGTGCGCTACCAGGATCCATCCACCCTTGCTCCTTTTCCCCCCTCGGCTACTAGTTCTGTTATGGGCTCGAAATACTCTTGCCTGGGTGGGCAGCTGAGGTGAAGAAGCTAAATGACATTTTTCTCCCTCTTTTCAGGACCGCCTCTTTTTCGTCATGGAATATGTCAATGGTGGAGACCTCATGTTTCAGATTCAGCGCTCCCGAAAATTCGACGAGCCCCGCTCACGGTTCTATGCTGCAGAGGTCACCTCAGCCCTCATGTTCCTCCACCAACATGGAGTCATCTACAGGTAGCCTCTTACTGCCTCCTTTCTGGCTTTAAAGTGAACAAATAGTGACGTCTCTGGACACTTAAACTGACTTTGGCTCCCACCCAACTGGTCTCTTAGCAACCAGCCTTAGATTAGTTGTTTGTTCCAATTTGCTTACAGAGAACTTTTTTGGGGGCTGTTTATCATTGTCAATGTTAATATTTGAATGGCCCCAGGAGATCTGCCCCACTGTTTGTGCCAGTTTTGATTTAAAGCTCAAGCTTGACGTTTCAAAGATATGGTGCCAAGTGGCCTTGTGGCGACCTTCATTTCTCTCTCTCCCCCACCCTCTTCCTTGAACATCAGGGCATTCTCTTTCCTTTTTCCTTCTGTGCCATGAACTTCCTCCCCTTCCCACCCTCTTGCCCCTTCCTGAGTTTGTTTGGTTCTGTGGTCTCCTGCAGATACAATCTGGGAAGGAGGAGTTGCTCCAGGGTCTCAGGGTTTATGATGTGGGGCAGGGGGAAGGAAGTAGCCAATATCCAACAGGAAGTGACTCTTTGCAGATCATCCAGTCCCTTCTTATTGCCCTTCCAAGAAAACGGAGCACTTGCACGCGCGTGCGCACACAAGCACACACACGCACGCACATACACGCGCACACACACACACACAAATTTTCCAGTGAGAGAGCAGGACTATTTACGCAGGCTCTTCTGTGAGGTCAGGAATTCTGGGAGGAGTAAATATTTATAATTAGCAACAGGGACACTAAGGTTCCTTAATTTTTTTTCAGTGACTGTCAATTTCTTTACTTGGTCTTTGCTTTCTCCTCTTTTCTTCCTTTTTATTTTTTAATTGAGTAGAAGAGGGGCTGGTTATAGTCTTGGTTTAACCCAGAACTTAGTCACTGACCCACTCCTGGGAACAAAGCCCCAACTAAATGCTCTTCACGGGCTCTGACGGTCGCCATTCCAGGCTTTCTTTCCCCCTGCCATCTCTTAGCTCCCTGAAGCCTGCCTCTCTCTGCTCAAACATAGTCAACCGCTTCTTATGACCCACTTAACGAAGCCCATACATTTTATCCTGCTACTTGTGGATCTCCACAATGTGAGTCCCTGGATTAGTTTCCTGTTGCTGGGGAACAAATTACCACAAACTTAGCAGTTTGTTTTAGGCATGGCTTAGCTGGATCCTCTGCTCAGGGTCTCACAAGCCTACAATCAAGGAGTCAACCAGGCTGCATTCTCATCTAGATTTCGGGATCTTCTTTCAAGCTCACGTTTCAAAGAATCCATTTCCTTGAAGCTTTAGGACTCATACAGCCTACTTCTTCAAGGCTAGCAGGAGAGAAAGTCTTTCCTGCTTGAAGTCTCTGGACCCACTTTTAAAATGATTTACCTAATAAGATCAGGCCCACCCCGATTAATCTTCCTTTTGATTAACTCAAAGTCAAATGATTAGGGACCTAAAATAAATTTGCAAAATCCCTTCACCTTTGCCCTATAATGTATATAATCTTGGGAGTGATAGCACATAACCTTTGCCATATTTTATTGGTTAGACGCAAGTCACAGGTTCCGTGAAAAGAGAAGGGGATTATAGGATTATATGAGGTATGACTAATTCTGTTCACCCTAGCCCAACACACTGTCTCTCCCTACTTCCGACAGCACCTCATTTTGAACCCACCAAAGTTCTCAGCGTTCCTCAAACTCACCTGCCAATTCCCCACGCTGCTGTGCTTATGTCCTCCTCTGTCCCATGCTGACCAGCCTAGAAGCCTCACTGAGACACTGCCTGCCTGCACCCACCTGGTCCCACCAGCCGGAGTGAACCTTCCCATCCCCCACATGCTTTCTATAGACTTTCTTTGCTGTACCTACCACTGTTTACCTTGTAGGGGTAGGCATCTGTGTGGACCTTTTTTATTTAATTCCTCAATCTTCTTCTTAGTCTATATATTCTTCTCATCCTACACATAGTAAAGAGCCATTTGATTTCAATTAGTTTAAAACCCCTAATCCCTGCACCCAAAGCAGTTAACAAGCTAGTTAGAGCCGCAGGGGATAGATAAGTAAAAAGATAATCCATGTTACAAGGCAGCGCATTGTTATATTCCAGTGATAAGAAGAGCTGCCATCCCTCGAGATGTCATTCAGATACCATCCCTATGAAAGCCACATTATTTTTCACATTTAATTAGCAGGAATTCTGAGACTTGCCTTAAGTAACTTGCCCAAGGTAAGTGACAGGAGTTAGGAAATGTAACTTGGCAAGTTGCAGTCTTGGGTTTGACTGGCCAACCAGTTCATGCTGTAAATCTTGACACTTGGTACCCTCCTTTTCAAGTTCAAAGCTCAAACTCTTTAGCGTGTCGTTCCAAGTACTCCAGCACTTGGCTCTCCCTTACATTGCTCGTTTTCTTCTCCTTTATGCTTTCCTAAATGAATGCCTCTCTCTCACCACGCTTGTGACCACTTTTACCCTATTGGTTTCAATGAGCCCTGCTCTCTCTCTGTCCATCCCACCTCCCTGACCATTTCTCCTGCATCTCTATATTGTGTTGACTAGCTCTTTTCCCTCCCCGCCCCCACCCCGTTTATCTAAAAGCTGGTTTTTCCCAGGACCTTCACCCCTCTTTATTCCTACCCTTTGTTCCTATACTCTACCTGGGCAATTTCAACCTTCCCATGTCTTTGAATGACTCCTATATGCTAGGGGCTCCCATACGTCTATGTCCAGATCCCTGTCATCTCCAGGACCCCAAGCAAGACTTCCGACACCTTCTGGACTTCCCTCCAATCTCAAATTAAGCATGTCTCCCCAAAACTTATTCTCATCCCTATTCTCCCACCTCAAAACAAAACAAAGCAAACCCTGTCCCTTACCCTTCTCTTGGCTAATGGCGGCTCCACTCACTCAGTTCCCCAAGCAAGGAGTTTAGGTGTTGGCTTGGACTCCTCCCTCTTCCCACCTTCATTTGGGTAGATTCCATCAAGTCCATCTTCTGAATCTCTCTCTCTTAAAACTTGATCCTCAAGGCCGCTTCACTTCTTCCCTGGCTGGTTTGCAATTCCTTACTGATTCTACTCACTGGCCTTCGAGTTTCTGCCCTGCAGTCTATCCACCTCTTCCTCCATTGCTGCCCAATACTCTCTCTAAAGTATAGACTGATTGGCACATAGTCCCCTTGTTAGTACCCTTCAGCCTTTATACAATAAAGTCCAAATGCCTTTGCAGGGCTCCAGACTTCCTCACAACTGGGCATGTGGCCGCTGTGTGTAGCTTTGCAGTATAGACTCAGTACAGAAAGGAAAGGCAGAGGCAGTGAGTAGGGGGTGACACCCAGCCAAGGATCGACTTACCAGACCTAGAGCCCTGTGTGGGAGGCTTTAGCTCCAAAAAGGAGTGCTCTGAAAATTGGTCTACCCAGGAGAGATGCCTTTTTTTGCTTCTTACAAAGACACCATGCCTGCTAACAGGGCCCTGGCAGCCCCCAATGAAACTGAGGCACTTATCACCACTACTCCTAGTCATGTCAGGGTCACTGTGAATCGGAATCGACTCAATGGCAATGGGTTTGATTTGGTTTTTTAGGTACTCCACATTACTTGCCTTTGTCCCCCAAATACCATTCTCTCTCCTTGCTCTGTGCCTTTTGTCCCTGCTGTTCCTGGGATTCCCTTGCTCCTAATCTGTGTCTGGATCAGTGGTTACCCATTCACAGCTGTGGTCTGACTGCCTCTGAGTCCCTGGTTTAAAAAACAATACAGATTCCATAATCCAGTAGGAGGGGAAGTAGATAGGAGTATAGATGGAAACCAATTGGCTATGAGTTGATCCTTGTTGAAGCAGGGGGATGGATGCTTGGGAGTTCACTATTTTGTCTACTTTTGTGTATGTTTTAAATTTGTCATGATAGTAATAATAATTTTAAAAAAGAATACAGATTGCAGGGTAACGCTCTTGGAACTTTTGATTCAGTAGGCCTGGTTGAGGTTCTGGAATTTTTTTTTTCCCAAAGCTCCCCAGATGATTTGGGGGCCACAGGTCTAGAGGAATACCATTCTGCCCTCAGGACTGTGTCAAGTGAACCTCCTCCATGAGGCCTTCCTTGACCACCCAGCAGGGGCAGATTATACATTAGTAGTATACAATTATTTAGATCTATTAACTCACTTAATCCCTATAACCTTGAGCAATAGGCACAGCTCTTATCCCCACTTTATAGAGGAGGACACTGCAGCATAAAGCACGGAGACATTTGCCCAAGGCTGGAGAGGCTGCATTCTGCACCATCCTCTGCTGTGGACAGTGTGTGGTAAACAGTTTTACATTTTTTCACCACATCAAAGATTCTGCTTCTAGGTATGGCTGGCATCTGTTCTTTCTCCCAACCCCACAGCACCTTCCTACAGAATCAAAGCCTTTTTTCAAATTTACCGTCCCTGACAGGGACAGATTGATTGCTCTGTGAGCAAGGTAAGCATAGGCTTCCTTGCGCTTGCTTCCTAATCTGTCGTGAACAATTTCACACGTTTTTCACCACATCCTAAATATGTGGTGAAAATCATGTAGTGAAAAACATGTGAAATTGTTCACGACAGCTTAGGAAGTAAACATAAGTAAGCCCGTGCTTACCTTGCTTATTGGGTCATCCGCCCCTGCACCCAGCCCATAGTGGTGATCATCCCTTCCAGACCTAACACTTATCTGTACCATACATTTAGCAGTTCCCTTTGCCAACCCTGTATTTGTTTTTACTTATAATACCTACTGATACCTCTATTCTGTGATATCAATATTCTTACGATACCTATTCTGTGATTCGGAGTCCCACGCAGGAGTGCTTACCTTTCACTCTCTATGGCCTGGGACAGTCCCTGCTTATAGTAGGTGCTCAATGAGTATTTGTTCTTCTGGTCTACAATGGTCTAGAGCCCTCCAGTCCAGTGGCTTGCTACCTCATAGATGTGTACTTACGTGCTTGAAGCGTCCTGACACACAACACATAGTTTATTCTCATTGACCCCCAA